GCACATTGTTAATATGCAAAATAGTCTGATTGTAGCATTTCGCTGTCATCATACGTGTATAATGTTGAATAATGAGATAGATGGTCAGTAAGTGAGGATTAGTTCATAACTCTAAGGAAGTGCCTTATACTATTTGGTAAAAAGCTGAAAAACATGACCATTTAATACTGGGAAGCAATAATCAGAGGTAGTTTTTCTACTGTTTCCAATTTTTATTTAATGACTATTCATTACTTTGATACAAAATTTATCTATCTACCTATCTACCTATCTATCTATCTATCTATTCCTTTAAATTGAAGCAAAAAAAAACAAACAGAGTAGTTGATTTTTATCAAAGAAGCCATTATTCTATTCAGTTAAACTGGTTTTAAAAACCTTCTGACCAACACGTCATCTATGCCACTCGTGCTGCCAAACAGAATTGCATACAAATCCCAAACCAAACCCACTGCCCTGGAGACGAATCTGAGCCGGGTAGAACCACCCCTGGGGGCTTCGGGGGCCGTGACTCTTTACAGTCATAGAAAACTTCGCTTTTCTTACATGGAACTGCTAATGGTTTCAAACCGCTGGCCTTGCAGGTAGCAGCCCAACGGGTGACCACTCTATTACGTGCACAGAAGGCTCCTCAGTGATACTGTGAGCTAGGCGTTGGGCTGCTGTTTAAACCACCAGCAGCTCTATGGGAGAAAGAGGAGACTGCCTGCCCTGGAAAGATTTACAATCTTGGAAACCCCAGAGGGCAGGCCCGCTCTGTCCTCTGAGGTTGTTGTAAGCCAGAACCAGCTCTATGGCAGTTGGTTGCTTTGTGCTTTGTTTTTGTTTGTGGTGAGCTGAAACAACTAGATGGCAGTGGGTGGATTTATGTGTATTTGTCTGTATATGCATGTATATATATGTACACACATATGCATTGTAAAATGGAATTAAAAGGTAATGGAAATTTTCTCATGAACATTTTGCAGCAAGCCCTCTCATACCATTCTTTCTGATCTAATTTGTTTTAAGAAGCCCCTGTGATCACTCACATTTTCCACGAGCTCTCCCGACTCAATAGATGAAACTCTGTGGATCGCAACAGAATGTTGGCCTAACTAGTGCTGGCAGATGAGCCCCTAAGTGGGAAGGCCCTCACTCCACAATAGCTCTGACTTCCCCATGGCCATGAGACAAGGGTCAAACAAGCGTCCCTGTCTGAGTGGCAGGCACGACACAACAGCTGCCCCAACAGACTCAAATACAGCAAAGCTCATGAGGCTGGCACAGGATCGAGCACCGCTTCCCTCTGTTATGCACGGGGTCACTGTGAGTCAAAGCCAATTCCCTGGAAATTAAGAATGACAAGGGGATGAAAAAATATCTTTGACATGCTTGGAAATAATCGATAGGAAGAAATATCTCTCAAATGATATGAAAAAAACCCTATGAGGTATAAAATAATCCTGTTATTTGTACCATTTTTCTCCATTTAATAAGTTTGAACTTAGTCAAATGGTACTAGATAGATCATCAGGCTAAATGGCCTTGGGTAACAAAGCAGACAAGTGACCTGGTCTCTGAGGCCCCCAGGTACATCTCTCACATGTAGGATCAATAGAAACTGCACCTGGTCCTGCTTCCGATTTCAAATGAAGTGAGGTTAATTGTGATTATTATTAATATCATCTCAAATCATTGGGGTGCTGGCATGTCATTATTTCTGCAACCAACTCTCAAATCGTGCAAAAGAAAGAACTGTATACAGTGAGGTGGACTTTGCCGAGAACAGCATGG